CCGACGCAGCAGTCGCCATATCGCAAACCTGGATGGACCACAATCAATGAGTATGCTCGCCGTTGTGGTGAGTAACATCTATCGCCAGCCGGCTCCAGTGGTTCCTCACGCTAGCTGCCCTTTCTTATATATACTGGCACGCCACGCACATACTCCTGGGTCAATACGGCGAAATACATATATACTTTGTTGGTGGATATTTATATACAGGACGGACGCAGCGCAGGCTGGTTGCACAGGCTCAATGGCTTTCTTAGCGGCGTAGCCACTTTGCGGCACCCTCGTTAAACAATCTGCTTTGTTATATTTGATAGGGACACCTCCATTGTCAGTGCGTACTAAATTCACGACGAGCCGTCGTCGGATAAGCATCTCGCTGGTGGCTTTAGTCCGCACCCTGGCCCTAAAGGTATCAGAGATCCACTTATAAACGCAAGCGGAATCAGTGAACAGACGCAGGGTGGTCGACTTCAGGATCGCCAAGTTGAATGATGACAGCATAGCTCCCGCTAGGTTTATGTGCTAGTCCCTTTTCTGGACGTAACCAGCAAGCATCTTTCACGGCTCCATCGTGAATATATACGCCGGTTGCAGAAGAAATCTTGGCTGTACACACCATCTGCCCGCGCTGGGTCTTCCTTGCGTACTCTAGCGAGGACCTCCTTCATCATGTGTTGTTGAGGGGCGTCGTGAACTTCGTCATCCCATCCAGTGGTGACGTCAGATGCTCTCCGCTTGATAAACGCCACCGCAACACGCAGCCAGCCACCTACAGGAAGGTGTCCAACAACTTTGCCGCACATAGGGCATGTTCAGTTTCCAATACAGGACGTTATCTTCTCCCGAGACCTACCCGTGCACCATAGTCTCTCCGGTTCCTTGCTGAGAGGCCAAAGTTAAAACGCGCGCCGCAGATACATGTCATCATATATGCAGATGCTGTATGCGCTCATCCTTCGTTAGAATGGCGTCAACAATCATCTGCATAAATGGCGCCAATTGAGTCCAAACCCCATGCGGGTCAGGCAATACCGTTTTATCCGGTTTGATGACATTTATGCTTTTGCCAGTATGCCGTGCGAAGATCCAGCACAGATACATTTGATCCTGCTTGTCGCCATTTTACTTCTCGGTACACACGTTAAATTCCATTCGTTCAGTTCTCGATAGTCGACATGGAGAACCGCCATAGCGGGTGGGGCCCCAATTCCTTCTCTGGATAAGGAAACCAACCACCCGTTATTAAAGGCTCGATCGTACTCCCGCACGAGCTCGCGGGGGGGCACACTGTTGTACAGCTTCTCTGGCGGTTGATCGTCTGAATTTTCAAGATACCGTCCAGGACTTTGTGCGCTGGTCGAACTCGCACGAAAAGTCAATGCACCTAGAGCTAGACCTGTTTTGAAACGCGCCCGACCCTCTTCGTCAAATTACACCACCCAATTTTTATGACGTCCATTCCCAGGAGCAGATCATAGCATCCGTCCACGACCAGGGCTTGTTTTCGCCGATGCTTGCGCGGATACGCTTAAAGGTTAGCGACCCCCGCCAACAGTCAGAACTGGAATATTTTTCTTGTCCCACGTTCACAACATGCCTTTACAAGGGTCTGGGTGCACCCCGGTGTCAACAATATAAATAATCCGCACGCTACACATTTTTCAAACATGCTGTAGCTTACTCCCTGCCCGTTTCCTGGACAGCTTCTTGCCAGCTTTCGCACCTGTATACGTCTCCGTATCCTTCACAGCTTCGGCAGTCTTTGGGAAGTGGTTCAGTCCGCCACACTTATGGCACCTTATGTAGTTGGCGGTGGGGTGGTTCCACAGCTGCTGAGGCCGGCTCCGCGTCATCTTTTAGAATATTCCGGCTCTGGCCAGTAATTCGTCTAGCCCCAGCTCATTGAGCCTTGACTTAGCAGTCGACTTGCCGTTGTCTGGGAGTCCTGCCAGAAAGGCGCATAGGATTTGGTCGCTTGCTCCACCGAACGGTGCGGCCAGCTTCCTCAAATCGGCCAGAAAGACATCTACTGTTCATCCGGTCAAGCCGTCGTTCGGTTGCCTCCAGGCGACAAAGGGGTCCGCACCAAATGCTGCACAATTGTTTTATTTCCTCAGTCTGCGTCATTAGCTGCTGATACATTATTGGTAGTCTAAGAGGGATAACCAGTGCGGGATCTTTATATATATATATATATATATATATAATATTATTTAGCAAATGAGTACAAACATGTAAAGGGACGCAACTCTTTCCGATTGTCTGCAACGCAAAACGATGACAAGCACGGGTGAAATGTTGGTCTGCCAATGTCCTCAAGCAACCTGCTTTTTATGGAGCCCAGACACACCTCATTAGCATTAACGACTTTGCGTGACTTAACCTTCAAAAGGCCAGGAAGATGCGAGAACGTTTGAATTTTCCCCCACATACATATACACACACACATACACACATACATATAAACACATACACATATACATCAACAATTATTAACCTTTTTTCTTTAAAAACATTATATTAGATTTATTTTTATTACTTTTACATGCCACAAGACGCAAACATAGTGATGCTGAAAATTACGATACACCAGAGAGACCTTAATAAAAACATTGACAAATCTGACGTTAAAATCTAAAATAATAACTACTCTTTTATCCGTTAGATGACATTTATACAGTCTATTGCTATAATTGTTCTATTTTATTATTAGTTATTGTTGTTAATCTCTTATTGTGTCTAATAAGATCTACGGTAGGAACGAATGTTTCATCTGGAACATAACTTTTATTACAGTTTATTATTATAATTGTTTTATTTCATTATTAAACATTGTTGTTAATCTATTATCGTGCCTTAAATATTATATGTATTATTATTTTCATTTTTTAAAACATATTAAATATTTTATAACATTTCAGTGTAATATTTTCTTTTACCTTTATTCATATTTCCCTTACACAGATATACGCCAATTAAAAGGTTTGTATCACACACACACACATATTATATATATATATATATATATATATATATATATATATAAATTATTATTACTTGATTGAAAAACCTCATATGACTCAACTGGTAGACACCTGAGGGCAAATCCGTAACATAAGAAAAAATTACAGTAAAAAAAGATTGAACTTAAAACACCAGAAGATGACGAAAAAATCGTCAAGTGTCTTAAGTCCAAAGAATCTTTACGGTTAGGTTGCCTGACTCGTTTATTATATATATATATATATATATATATATATATATATATATATATATATATATATTATGTGAAATTGTGTGTACTGTGTGTGTATAGTTCTGCTATCGAATATCCGTCAATTAACACAATACAACAGTGGAATGACACAAACCGTTTCAAAACTACATGCACACATACACACACGCACACACACACACACTCACACACACACACACACATACACACACGCGCTTTCATTATTATCACATAGATTTCATTATTATATATTGCTATAATTGATCCACTTTTATTATCAGTTATTCTTATTAATCTCTTATTGTGCCTAATAATATCAACGGTGAGAACGAATCTTTTATCCGTTATATATATATATATATATATATATATATATATATATATATATATATATATATTAAGTTTTTTGATTTCTCTCTTCTATATTTACATTATTCGAATGTTTATCCCCATCTTCAATGCAATATTCACAACATTTCGGCCGTTGTACGCTCCGGCCTTTTTCAGGTGATTGGAATTTCGAACCGAAACCTTTCTTTCGTTCACTGGGGTAGATTATTCTAGTTCCCCGTGCCGTGCCTCTTCCGGATGTCTCAGTTATTTCACTAAACTCTTCAGGTTTTGGTTCACCACTGCTGTGGCCTGGTAATGAACTCACAACTCTTTGGGTGTAGTCACTGGATCTAACAAGGGCACGTGGCCAAGTGGATAAATCACCTGTTAGAAGGCCGGACAGTACGCCGACCGAAATGTTGTGAATATGGCATTGAAGATAAAGGTAAGAGTCTGAATAATGTAAATAATACAAGTAATCATAATACCTCATCTCAGAGATATAGACAGAACCAAATTCATATCAGTAGAAATAAGATGTAAGCTTGCGAGATAGTGCTATCAATGAAGATGAGGATAACAGTCCGAATAATGTAAATAATAGAAGTAATCATAATACCTCATCTCAGAGATCCCATCACCTGAAGAAGGCCGGAGCGTGCAATACCCGAAACATTGTGAATATGGCAATGAAGATGAGGATAACAGTCCGAATAATGTAAATAATAAAAGTAATCATAATACCTCATCTCAGAGATCTAATCACCTGAAGAAGGCCGGAGCGTATCATGCCCGAAATGTTGTGAATATGGCAGTGAAGATGAGGATAACAGTCCGAATAATGTAAATAATAAAAGTAATCATAATACCTCATCTCAGAGATCTAATCACCTGAAGAAGGCCGGAGCGTATCATGCCCGAAATGTTGTGAATATGGCAGTGAAGATGAGGATAACAGTCCGAATAATGTAAATAATAAAAGTAATCATAATACCTCATCTCAGAGATCTAATCACCTGAAGAAGGCCGGAGCGTATCATGCCCGAAATGTTGTGAATATGGCAGTGAAGATGAGGATAACAGTCCGAATAATGTAAATAATAAAAGTAATCATAATACCTCATCTCAGAGATCTTTTCACCTGAAGAAGGCCGGAGCGTACAATGCCCGAAACGTTGTGAATATGGCAATGAAGATGAGAATAGCAGTCCGAATAATGTAAATAATACAAGTAATCATAATACATCATCTCAGAGATATAGACAGATATTGATTATTATTATTATTATTATTATTCCATTGTGTTTAATTCGTAAATTTTATTATAGGTATATATGTATTAGAAAAATTATAGTATATATAAAGCATTCGCTACTATCCACGGTTTCAGGTCCCCATTGCTGGTGTTGAAAGATATTCACCGCGAATAAAGAGGCATTGCAGATACCCTTCTTTTTTTTTCTTTCTTGGTATCTATCACTAACTCTGCATTTATCACTTCTTCTCTCTCCTTGCTCCATATCTTTAAGGTATACCCTGACAATCCACGTTACCCTTTCATATCTCATCTCCCAAAACAAACACGAATTGATAACGAAACTTGGCTAGTATATAATCCTGTTTAAAAATCACAGCTCATGATATATCCAATGAATTATAGAGAAACACAAAATTCTGGGTTTGTCTTGAATAACATTTGCTTACCGCCCCAACCAACACTTCCTGACCGAGTTTTCGCGCGCCCTGAAGACGAAGACTCTGGCAAATTCCACATCTTCCATAAAAAAAAAAAAAATGGCGGGGAGCCAGTTTATAGTAATCTTTAAAATGTCTCTTCGTATTTATTTTTATAGTCCCTTAACCGCAAGGGTCACAAAGGTTTACGATTGAGAATCAGCCAACAGTAATGTCTGTCATTATGAAGTGTATCAAGGTCAGTGGACGACTGCAAGGTGTCAACTTCTTTCCACACAAGTTTCTTCAACCCTCTGGACACGCGCAGATGTAAAAGATGCTAAAAAGAAACGTACCGATTGTTTCCCCTATCTCTCTCTCTCTGTCTGACTCTCTCACTCTCTCTGTCTCTGTCTCATTCTCTGTCTGTGCGTCTTTCACTTATTCTGTTGCTCTCCCTCTAATTTTGAAAATGAAAAAAATAACTTTAATCTAGAACGGATACAGGTTTTCATAAAACAAAATAATTTTTAAGTGGTCGTGCTAAGAAAGAACAAAAATAAACATTTGATTATAAATTATAAATTAAAAACATGTAGATGATAGATGAAAACTTTTACTGCTACACCAGGCACATGTTCGTCTTGCGACATGTTGCCTATACCGCTAACGGCCATCATTCTTAAATTAAAGTCGACCAATATCCATTTATAGTACTACTAGCAGCCATACTCAGCTAGTCGATCAGAAAAAGCATTCAATTAGAATGGAGCAAAAACAGCATCAAGTTTAAATGTAACAGAGTCTATTTTCTTCAATTACTTTAAAGTACTTTCATTAAAAACATTCTGAATTAATGCAGTTACTGATATAACAGAAGTCGTCTGTATTTATTTAATCGAATTGATAAACATAAGTTATGCTAAAATCAACAAGTGTATCAATCCACGCTAAAACGAACAAATATCTTTTATACATTCTTCTAGCTGTTTTATATCATTTAAATCGTCTGATATGGACTAAAAAATATAAGGTATGCTAAAATCAACAAGAATATTAATCCACACTAAAAAAGAAGCTATATCTTATATATATCATATATATATAGATCAGAAGCTGGTAAACAAACTGAAAATAACCAATCTTAACCAAATGTAACCAATTTGCCCCCACTCTTCGATATCATCCGTAATAAATTCTTGAAAGCATTTGAACATCATAGGATACTAGCAACCATATTCAACAGGTCGATCAGAAAAAGCGTTCAATTAAAATGGAGCAAAAACAGCATCAAGTTTAGATGTAACAGAGTCTATCTTCTTCAATTACTTTGAAGTACTTTCATTAAAAAAAACTTTTTCAATTAATGCAGTTACTGATATAACAGAAGTCGTCTGTATTTATTCAATCGAAGTTAGCTGAAGATATGAAGGAGTAAAACAGGCAACATGAAAACCCACTTCAGACCACAATTATTTTGGAGTTTTTGAAATTCAATTTGTCGGTGTGCTTACAGAGATGTAAAAGAGGATACATTTATAAAGCAATTTTTAAGTTTGATGAAAATTGGTTGAAAGATCAACGAAAAATAAGAAAGAAACCAGTAAAAATCGCCATTTTTCGCTATTTACGCGGGTTTTCACTATATCGTTGGACGCAATTATCAAGTTCAATGATTGTTAAACAATAAACTTATTGTTTACTACAACTGAGTGAATTTTGTCTTAGCTTGCTTGAAAATTGAAGGAGTTTTAGTTTAAAATTTGTGTTGAAATCTATTTGTCTTGAAATCGATTTTCGTTTTCGCGGTTTTTCGCTAAACGCAATGGTGTAGAAATAAAAAAAATGAGGTATCGTTGAGCTCGTCATGATGTAAGTAACCTACATTCCGAGTTTGAACGAAATCGGAGGAAAAAGTTGGATTTATTGATTTTTGATCAGCTTTATCGATTATTGATTTTGTTACGCTAAGAACCTCTCTCTTACATAGTACAATGTATATGCCAAGTTTGGTCAAAATTGGTTGGATCTCGCGTGAAAATGTATCACACAGACAGACAGACATCCTCTGTTTTATATATGTATATAAAATATAGCACTATGCTAACACATTGTTTTACTTCTAAATACCGTGGCCATTGGGACGTTGTCTTCTGGCTCTCCACAACTACCTATACATTACTGCTCTGTTTGTCATCATTCAATGTTTCCTATGAGTGTCAAATTCACCAAGCCTTTTTCCTCATTATATTTCTTAGAAAATTTAATCTGTCTTTTTCTGATTCTGATTAAATGTATCCTTTTTGTTTTCATTTTATTTAAACTTCGTTTGTTTGTTAGTTTAACGGCATATGGCTCATTTAATGTCAAAATTTAATTTTCTTGGTAACATTAGTAATTTTTTCCTTCAATTTTCAACAATCTATTGCTGATTTACACTATTTACATTTTTCGGACTGTTGTCCTCATCTTTATTGTGATATTCTCGATATTTCGGCCGTTGTACGCGCCGGACTTCTTCAGTTGATATACGTTGGAATTTCGAACCGAAGACTGTATTTCATCCACTGCGGTAGATTATTCTAGTTCCACGTGTCGTGCCTTTTCTGTTATATTGTTCTAGTTCCATAGTAAACAGTTACAAGACCTAAACTCAAACATATATAGATCCACAATCGAGAGTTATGTTTTTCTTACGATATCTTTTTTTTTTATTTTTTTGGGTTCTCTGTGGTGGGTAAAGGAGATCAATTTTGTTTTGGATATATATATATATATATATATATATATATAGAGAGAAACTGTTTGGGCAAAACAAGGATTGGCCAAAATGTATGATAAAAAATAAAAAATAAAAAAAAAACAAATGAAAACTACAGATAAAGTTCATTTTCTCCATGAAGTCATTCATTTCTGTAGTTAACTGCTACTAACAAGCAGAATTTTTTTTCTATATATTTTTGCATATATATATATATATATATATATATATATATACCGTAATTCTAAAAAATAATAAGCAATATCAGGGGTGCGTATTATGCACAGCTATAAAAAAATCTTTCAAAAATCCCCGTAAAATAAAATAAGAATTATAAAACTAAATTAGAATAACGCTTTATTTAAAAAAGAATAATTTTTTTTTAAAAAAATAAATAAATAAATGAATAAGCGTATGACGTGAGAAGTGGTAGAAGCAGAAAAGGAAGAGAAAAGCAAGTATATTGGAAATGTATCCCTTGTGGTGACGTTAAATGAAATATACATACTTTCTTTTCACTCCACTTCATATGAACTCAAAAGGAACTTTTTAGTATGTATACAACGCGTCATAATTTCTGGTCACTCATTCAAAAGTTTTTTGTTCTGGAAATTTTATTATGGCTAATTTTTCTGGTTGACAAAGGTTGCAGATATTATTATAATTATTGTAAGGTTTTGCTTTTTTTTAAATTTTCCAGTTTACAATCTGATCTTTTGTAAATTTTTTGTTTAAATTCCATACATGGCTGGCTAGTCTTGTAGAATTCCTAAGACATTCTAGCTTAAAAGATTACTTGTGATTATACCACCTCTTCTTAAAGCTACCCTCAGTACACCCTATGTATATTTTTCTGGACATTTGTACCTATTAATTCTGATTAATAAATTATTGTTTCAGTTTTAGAAACTTCACCTAATAGACATCGACTTTTATTTCTACAATTAGGAAAAGAAAGTACCTATATGTAATTTAATCCCCGTTATATTTCCAATAAACTTGCTTTTCGCCTCCTCCTCCCCCACCTCACCTTCAACAACACCTGACGTCGTACGCTTATTTGTTTTTTTAAAAAAATTACTAGTCAGGAAGTTATTTATGTTTTTAAAAAAAAGCGTTAGGAAATGAATTGACGAAACCGCCTGAAGATAGCGTAAGTTTGAAACCAAGGTAGCGGAATCGGCGTATTCTCCTAAATTTACACACACACACACACACACACACACACACACACATATATATATATATATATATATATATATATATATATATATATATAATTATTTATTTAAAAATATGATTCAGCACGCTACATAAGAGTTCTCATGTTTCAAAACAAGAGCCGGAATCATATTTTTAAATAAATAATTATATTTATGATCTACTTTTAAAATAATAACAAAATAAAAAAAGAACCGGATTATTTACCTAACGAGTTCTTTCCTATTAAATATATATTTTTTCACACACACACACACACACACACATATATATATATATATATATATATATATATATATATATATATATATAGGGTGTGGCTGGTATTTGAGGACATACAGATTTAAAGTTAATACTGCTTCCCACTAACTTCTAATGTTTTTATCTATCAGAAATCAAGAATGGCAAACCCTATGATAACAAATGAAATGAAAAGGCAGGCTGTGATTGTGACATTAAAGGCTGATCATAGCGATTTGGATGTTGCACATTTCCTCAGAGCTGCAAGATCGTTTGTCCACAAGATACGGAAATAGTTAGAAGACGCAGACAGTTCCCCAATGTCTGTATCAAAACGTAAAAGACATTCTACATGTTCTGATAAAGTGAGAACATCCGAATTTCTTTCAGGAAGTCAAGCAGACAATTGATGAAAACTGAGGTCAATCAATGAGGTCAAATGCCAAAAACCTGCATGTGTCTAAAAAAAAAAAATCAGGAATGTTCACGAAGACATTCGATACAAGTCCTAGATTATGAAGAGAGGTCAATTTATGTCTGAAAGAACAAAAGAAAACCGTTTAAACAGATCCAAAAGGCTTTTAAACAAACTTAAAAATCCTTCAGAAGCTGGTGGGATTTGTTTTTTCTCAGATGAGAAAAATTTTGATCA